GTGTCAGAGGCAATGCGATTGGCACAGGATAGAGCAGGGTTTAGAGCTGCTGTACATAGGGTCGCTGTGAGTCACAAACGACTGGACGGCACATAACAACAACAACAACATAGGTAAAATATTGAACGATACATGAAGCGTTAAAAAAATGATAGAAGGGGCGCAGCCGACGTGACCGCCCGGCCCCGCCGGCCGCAGTCCGCTGTAGCGTGTGCCTCAGCTCGGTGGTTTCTCAGGCAGTTCAGCCGTCCACTGCCAGGCTGCGCGTTGCCTTAGCTGGGACGCGCCTCTGCGTTCCTCACCGCCTCTTCGCCCGTGGCCACCGTGCACCTTCCCGGGACACAGCACACACACCATGACGAAGAAAGACAAGAAGTCCTTCGACCAGAGCCTGGCCGAGTGGACGCTCTTCATTTATAACCCCAACACCGGACAGTTCCTAGGGCATACTGCCAAGAGTTGGGGTTTGATCTTGCTCTTCTACCTAGTCTTCTATGGCTTCTTGGCTGCTCTCTTCACATTCACAATATGGGTCATGCTCCAGACACTGAATGATGAAGTTCCCAAATACCGTGACCAGATTCCCAGTCCAGGACTTATGGTTTTTCCAAAACCAGTGAGCGCCTTGGAATATTCATTCAGTGTGTCTAATGCACAGTCCTATGAAGGATGCATTAAAGACCTTGACAGTTTTCTAAAGTCATATAGTCCAGAAGAACAGAAGAACCTCACAGTGTGTCCTGAAGGAATACTTTTTGAACAAAAGGGCCCTGTTTATTCTGCATGTCAGTTTCCTCTGGATTTACTTAAAGACTGCAGTGGCTTGATGGATCTTAACTATGCCTATTCCAAAGAAACCCTTGTGTTCTTGTGAAAATGAACCGAATAATTGGATTAAAGCCTAAAGGAGAACCGAAGATAGCATGTACGTCAAAGAATGAACAGATGGCACATGTATCAACATACCCTTCTGCGGGAAATATAGACTTAAATTTTTTTCCATATTATGGGAAAAAATTACATGTGGGGTGTCTGCAGCCAATTGTTGTCGTTCAGGCGTTCTCTGATCCTCTTAATGTTACCAAGAAAGAAGCCACATTTGACTGCAAGATAGAGGGAGCATCCAACCTGAAAAACGAGGATGATCGTGACAAATTTTTAGGACAGGTTACATTCAAAATCACAGTGAATGCATAGTCAGAGTAGGATGTCTGTACAGAGTAAATGTTGTGTTGTTTGTCCACACTTTGCATCAGCTGGACCTGCCATTCTAGAATTATGAGACCACCTCGGAGAAAGGTGGGTGGTACATGACACTGGGGTGACACCTTCATGTGCTTCCAGATCACACTGTTCAATGTCCTCTGAAATAACTACCTGTTGCCTCTGCTGCCCTTTGAACCAGTGTACAGATGCCATATTAGGGACAGGGAAATACCTGATCAAGATCAGTATGATGGGGGTCTTTTCCTCTTTTTGTGTGGTTTAACTGCCAAGTGTCTAAAGCTTAATGTACTGTGCTGTGTAAATATTGTATTGATTTAACAGTGGTTAACTGTTCTTTGATGCCAACACAATTTTTAGGGATAAAACGATAAAAGAAATGGTACTTGACCAACATCAAGTGACTTTATACCTGCAATCAGTGGGTGTGGTGTGTGGAGATCCCTGAACTGATGTGTGCATAAGGAGTGCAAAGAAAATAAAAGTGCGTTGGAAAGTGTTAAAAAAAAATCAGAACACCAAATAAAGAACTTCTTTTAATTAAAAAAAATTATAGAAGGAATATACAGAATCACTGTACCAAAAAGAATTGGCTGACACAGAGGAATTTAAGGAAGCAACATACGATCAAGGGGCAATGGTGATTTCTGCACTACCCACACAAGGGTCCATACAGCATTGTCCTGATTCCCATCAAAACTTAAAGGGGAAACTTCCACAATGTCTGGAACCTTGATATCCTGCAGATGAAGGAGAATAATCTCCTCAAATTCCTCAAATTTGGGCAGCAACAACTTTGACTTCCAAATGGAACAGTACAACCACAAAATGAAAAGTGATGGCATCTACATCATAAACCTGAAGAGGACCTGGGAGAAGCTTCTCTTGGCTATTCATGCCATTGTTGCCGTTGAAAATCAGCTGTTAGTGTCATGTCCTCCAGAAATACTGGCCAGAGAGCTATTCTGAAGTTTGTTGCTGCTACTGGAGCCACTCATATTTCTGGGAGCTTCACTCCTGGAACCTTCACTAACCAGATCCAGACAACCTTCTGGGAGCCTCATCTTCTGGTGGTTACTGACCACCAGTCTCTAACAGAAGCATCTTAGGTAACTTACCCACCATTGCCCTCTGTAACAGAGATTCTACACTGTGCTGTGTAGACATTGCTATCTCATGTGACAACAATGGAGGAAGCTCATTCCATGGGTCTGAATTATTTGAGGGAGGTGAATATTGAGAGTAGTGTAATAGTTATGATTATTATGAAACTCTATGTCATCAAGAACTTTAAAAGCTGGAACTTAGTCTCTATGGATTTGATAATGATGACAGTCAAGATGAACTGGGATGTCTAGTAAAGGTAGCAGATGTGGTATTAAAATGTTTCTTGGAAAAAATAGCTATACAGCAAGGAAACCTGGAAACAACAAGCTAAAGAATATCACCTGTAGAGATCAGAGCTATGAATTTTCACAGTTAGTTCTTGAATTATTTACATTGTGGTGCATGCAATAACTTTCTCCTGTGTTTTTTAAGCTTTATGCATATGTACTTTTTGTTAAATATGATGTGGATTTCTATTGTTTTAAATAACCAGTGATGCCTGTGTAAAGGAATAACTAGAGGCTGTCTACTACAGCATAACCATAGATGAGTTACAAGTAATTTCAATATTAATCCTTAGCTCTAATTTCTCTATTTCATTTCAATATAATTATTTTTGTATCTGGTTTTTATAAAAACATTATCTGTTCCTTTTTACACAGTAAATCCAATTAATTATATTTCTTTAAGTTAACAATGAAACTAAATTTTCTTACTACTGTTGGCAACTTAGAAAAAAACCCCAGAAAACTGAAACAAACCATAAAACAAGTATCACTGATGTTTGTTCTTTTATTCTTTTACCTCATAGTTTAAGACAGCTGGTGTACTTTGCAGAAAGGCATATGACGATTGTGATTTTCCTGAATTCTGTGATGGGACAAGTGGTGAATGTGTGCCTGACACCTATGTACGGGATGGACACCCTTGTGAATCGGGTGATGCGTACTGTTTTAAAGGAAAATGCCGATCATTTAACAGACAATGTAGAAATATATTTGGAGGAGGTAATGTCCATAAATTTCTTCTTAGTTTCTAAATTCTGATTATTAAGAAACTCTATTATTCAAATCTATATGGTAAGAATGTAGGCGTAATTTTTAAATGAGTGAAATTAGCCTTGTCTTAAAATCTAGTAGTGTTAAAGGAAACCACAACTCTTGTTTCTTAAAAAAACAAAACCAACTGAATTTATTTTAAATTATTCTTTGTTGTTTTGTTGTTGTTATGTGCCGTCGAGTCATTTGCGACTTGTAGCGACCCTATGTACAACAGCCCTAAACCATGCTATATCCTGTGCCAATCTCATTGCCTCTGTCACACCCATCTTGATTACCCCAGTCACTGAATCAATCTACCTCATAGAGGGTCTTCCCCTCCTGCGCTGTCCCCTCTACTCTACCCAGCATGATGTCCCTCTCTAAAGACCTGTCTCTCCTTACAACATGTCCAAAGTATGTCAGACGAAGCTCCAGAATCCTTGCCTCCAAGGAGCAGCCTGGTTTAACCCTCTCTAGGATGAATCTGTTTGTTTTCTTGGCAATCCACGGTACATTCAATACTCTTCTCCAGCACCACAGCTCAAAGGCATCAATTCTCATTCTATCCTCCCTAGTCATTGTCCAACTCTCTGATGCATAACAAGTGATTGCAAAAACCATGGCCTGTATCAGGCAGACCTTAGTCTCCAGAGAGACACCGTTGCTCTTGAGTACTTTAGAGAGGTCCCTAACCACAGACTTTCCCATTGCAATACGTTTTTTGATTTCTTGGCTACTGGTGCCAAGAGTGTTGACTGTGGAGCCGAGCAAATTGAAGCTGTGAACAATCTCAATCTCTTCACCATCCATCCTGATGCTACCGATTCATCCAGTGGTGAGAATTTTTGTCTTCTTGACATTGAGCCTCAATCCATATTGAAGGCTGCAGTCCTTGATCCTCTGCAGTAAGTGCATGAGGTCCTCCTCAGTTTCAGCGAGCAGGGTTGTGTCATCTGCATAATACAGATTGTTGATAGATCGTCCACCAATCCTAACGCCACGCTTCTCCTCATAGAGCCCAGTCTCTCAGATAATCTGTTCTGCATACAGATTGAAAAGGTATGGAGATAGGACACATCCCTGGTGTACACCCTTCCCAATTTTGAACCATGCAGTGTTGCCCTGCTCTGTTCTGACGACTGCCTCTTGGTCCAAGTATAGGTTTCGCATTAGCACAATAAATGTTCTGGGATTCCCATTCTTCTCAGAGTCAGCCACAGTTTGTTATGATCCACACTGTCAAATGCCTTTGCATAATCAAAGAAACACAGATAGACATTCTTCTGGTATTCTCTGCTTTCAGCTAAGATCCATCTAACATCCGCTAATATGTCCCTAGTACCACGACCCCTTCTAAACCCAGCCTGGACTTCTGGCAGTTCTCTGCTGATGTGCTGTTCAGTCGGTTTTGGATAATCTTCAGTAGAATCTTGCTTGCATTTGAAATCAATGACACTGTTCTGTAGTTTCCACACTCAGTTGGGTTGCCCTTATTTGGGATGGGAACAAATATAGACCTCTTCCAGTCAGTTGGCCAAGTGATTGTTCTCCATATTTCTTGGCACAACTTGGTGAGTACATCCACGGCAGCATCTGTTAGCTGAAATATTCTTTACTCAGTGGAATTTCAGCTTCTTACAAAATAATATAGAATTCAGGGTGCAAATGTTTTGTTTACACTTAAATGATTTGGCATGGCTCTGGTTAGAGGCAATACTGCTAATAAACTGATGAGTTTCCATGGAGGATCAGTTCCAAGGGGATTGCTCAGGAGTGAGGGCCTCAAGTCACAAAAGGCTTAGGTCTTCCTCTGCTAAGACTGAGATACCATCTCAGAGAGTAGGACAGGTTCAGTATCCTGGGGAGATTTAGATTCTAGCAAGGAATTAGAGTTTATGCTGAAGTGTGAAAAGCCATTTCAAAAGCAACCTCATATTGTCCATTTTCAAGTTTTAAGATTCAAGTTAAAACAACAACAACAAAGACTGAGTCATGATTTTGTATCAGAAGGTTGTAAAGATTAGCTGTGGACATAGATTCCATCCCAACTCCCAGCAATAGGACTTTTAAAATCAGATATATGGGTTATTAACTACTTGTATGAGGAGAAAGTAGAAATATTTAATAATAAATTAACTTTTAGAACAAATATTTAAGGTTTTAAATAATCAATTAAGCTTGTACTAGTTTCCATTGCAGTGATTTTTACTCACCTTGGTGCTGTATAGTTGTTGTTGTTGTTGTTGATGATGATGATGTTCTGTGCCGTCAAGTTGCCTGTGACTTATAGGAGGCCCTATGTACAATAGCTCTGAATTGTGATTTATCCTATGCAAGTCCCATTGTCTCTGACCTACTTATCATACATTTTAAACATCATTCCAATTAAAAGTTTAATGATACTTCAACTAATTTAGCTAAAGTCAAAGCTGATTTTGCTATAGGGTAAGAGATAAGTTCTAGCATGCAGTGAGTATTTGATCAGCCCTGGGAAATTGGGTTAATACCCCTAGAATTATTATTGACTGTATTAATCACAGCAGATTGTGGCTAACCTTGAGGAAAATGAGAATCCCAGAACACCTGATTTTACTCATGCGAAACCTACACTCAGATGAGGAAACAGTCCTCAGAACAGAGCAAGGAAACATTACACGGCTCAAAATCAGAAAAAGGTTACACCAGGGATGCATCCTGTCCCTTTTCAAACTTCATAGAGAACAGATCATTCAGGAGGCTGGGCTTTATGAGGATGAATGTGGCATCAGAATTCGAGGAAGACTCACCAACAACCTATGTGGTGTAGGTGAAACTGAGGAGGACCTGAAGCACTTGCTGCAGAAAGGCAAGAACTGTAATCTTCAATATGTGTTCAGGCTTATCATCAAGAACGCTAAGATTCTCACCACTAAGCCAGTTGGTGGCATCATGCAAGATGGAGAAGAGATTGAGGTTGTTAACAATTATAGCTTATTTGGCTACACAATCAACACTGTATGCACTAACAGTCAGGAAATCAAGACAAGCTACCCTGAGAAAATCTGCTGTCAGGGATCTTTTCAGAGTACTGAGAAGCAACGATGTCAGTCTAGAAACTAAGATGTACCTGATCCAGGTCATGGTCTCCAAAATTACTTGCTATGCATAAGAGAGCTAGACAATGACTAAGGATGACAGAAGAATTTATGCCTTTGTGTTGTGGTGCTGGAGAAGAGTATTGAACGTACCATGGAACACCAGAAGAATAAATAGGTATGTGTTGAAGGGGATGAAACCAATTCCCCTTGGAGGCTAGGATTTTGAAGCTCTGGCTCACATACTTTGGGCATATGGCCAGGGGGGACCAGTCCTTGGAGAAGACATCATGCTCAGAAGGATGGAGGGATAGTGCTGGGGAGGAACACCCTGGATGAGATGAATCGATACAGTAACTAGGGCATTGGGGGTAGGTGTGTCGGGGTCAGTGAGACTGGCTCAGGACAGGACAAATTTCAGAGCTGTTGTACTTAGGGTTTCTTGTGGCAGGTGACTCAACAGCACATAGCAACATTAACAGTAACAACAACCACAAAATAGAGAGGTCTGGTAGCTTAATGAGTAAGGAGTTGTGCTGTCTACCCAAAGGCAAGCAGTTTGAATCCACTAGATGCTCTGTGGAAGAATGACAGGCAATCTCTTCCCATGCAATTATAGCCTCTGAAAGCCCAATGTAGGTTCATCTATGATTTAGTTCCTACTTAATGACTGTGAGTTGTTTTGTTGGGTTGTTAGCCTTAGACTATGACTTGAACCTTACCGAATATATAGAAATAGATATATTTTTTTTATAATCTGGAAGATACAGTAAAGGTTATTGGCAGGAATTTAATTGTTTTTGAAATCATTTTTGGAGCTACTTTGTGGTACATACATACAGTTAATGTATTCTGCTGCTAAGGAGAAGGTTGTCAGTTTGAATCTACAAAAAGGCTCCTTGGAAGAAATGTCTGACAACTTCTGAAGCAATCAGTCTTCTGAAAAATCATCCTGGATTCCAAGATGGCAGCAGCCAAGAGAGCAGTGTGAAGAGCCAGATGAGCAGCAAGCTGCATAGAGACAGGCCATAAGAGAGACCTTCAGGCCACACAGAGACCTACAGACATGGCACAATGTGGACCATAGGCATTTGAATTAGAACTTTTGGTGGGACAATTAGTTTTGGACATACAGGAACATAGAGCTATGCTGCAGGTCCCTCTGCAGGCCCAACCAAAGCCAGAAGCCACCAGCCAAGCTGCTGTGGGACCCATCTGCCAGGAGAAAGGTTAGTGGGAAATTGACTGAGTTCTTTTAAGCCCCACTAAGAGGGAGTGGGTCTCTTGGAATTTATCTGAGTGTTCTTGTGTCCTTGCCTACAGCCCACGAACAGGCAGGCCAGTTGGAAATTGACTGGGTTTTTTTTTTCTTTTCGGCATGGCCGATTGCTTGGGAGAGCACCCAAGAGCACGCATGCTGGTGAGAATTTGGCTGAGTTCTCTTGGGCACCGCTGACTGCCCAGGAATGGGTGGGGTGGTGGGAATTTATTTGAATTTTCTTTGGCACCATCGACAACCTGGAAGAATGCCCAAGAACAAGAGGGCTGAGAGAATTTGACTGAACTTTGGTGGACACCACAGTCCAACTAGGGGCGAGTGGGTCATCATGAATTTGACTGAGTCTTCTTTGGTCCAGCTGGACCCAGGGCCATGTTGGGGCAGGGGCCACTGTTCAAGAGCACCTGGATAAGGACTACTTGGCAGGGACAGCTGAGTGAGAGCCACTGGGTGGGAGAGGGGCAGCTGGAATTTGAGTAGGAATGACACTCATGAGCACATCAGGACAGCTGAGATCTGAATGAGGTCCCGCAAGTGGTTGACCCACCCATGTGGTCATGCTGCCCCCCATGCCTTCCCCATCCCCCATTTGGCTCCACACCTGTGCCTAAATA